ACGCACGCACACGTGCCCGGCGTGAGTTTTAAGCCGCCGGGTCCAGGACGCGAACCGCGGTCGACTACGTGGAAGTCCAGCGACATAGCCATTACGCTAACTGCTGGTTCCCAATAATAATGTATAGTTAATTCGTCATGTGGTTTTAAGTGGACTGACAACGGAAATAACCAAGCTCTGTAGAAATAACTGAAAGATGGTTTATTCTAAGTACAGCGTTGAGTGGCCAGGCCTGGGGAAACGCAGCCGTGCCTCCCTGTGCTCAGGTGCAGGTCTTCCTTCCTTCCTTTCTTTTTCTTTTTTTTTCTTTTCTTTTCTTTTCTTTTCTTTTCTCTTCTTTTCTTTTCTTTTTTTTTAACTAGGCTAGGCAAGGAACTTTATTAACCTTTATCGCAAACTTTATTCCCAGGCTTCTTCAGCTGAATTAGCTGCCCCCTTCTCCTCCATTCTCCTCCAGGGATCTTGGGCACACACGCACACACGTCCGGCATGAGTCCCACTAGGTCTGGGACTCGAACTGCGGTCGACTACGTGGGAGTTCAGTGACATAGCCATTACGCCAACTGCTGGTTCCCAGATCTTTTTTTTTAAAGACTTTTTTTTGCTATAGGGTACATGCACTCGTGAGAGACAGAAAGCAATAAATCACCCCCCGGGGGGATGGCCACGCCGCAATCCCTTCTCCTTTATTCTCCACTCAGGATCTTGGGCACGCATGCACAAGTGCCCAGCATGAGTTTAAGCTGCCAGGTCTGAGAGTTGAGCTGCGGTCGACTACATGGGAGTCCAGTGACATAGCATTGCGCCAAATCCTGGTCCCGCAATAGGTCTTTCATTCAGCTCTGAGAGCGGGAGACATAGTCGGAGTTCTGAATCGGCATCAGGAGTTTCTTTGTTGGCCTGGCCCCCAAACGCACAACACCTGGAAGTGGGGGCCTATATGTTACAGGTGTAGTTAGAAAGTCTAAGGTTAGTAATTGGTTAAATATGTAAGTCTTTGTCTCAAAGACACTTGGTGTCAGCAGAAAAGACAGTCTGGATTTAGTCTGGTTGTGAACAAGAAGGCCTCGGATGTACCGGGTGAGGCTGTGCAGGCTCAGGACGCAGGAGCCGCCCTCGGTCACTGGACCAAAGCCGTCTGTCACGGTGAGACTCGTGTTGATAGACGCAGCTCTGCCAGGCCCCTCAGAAAGCAGCTTAGTATAAGAAGAGCAGTCAGAAATCTGTCTTAACAACAACAAAACACACAAACAAAACCCCAGCAAAACGTTTCACGGACACGAAGATGGAAAGTTACCTGCTGATGCTCACGTGTACGGCCATACCTCTGGGTTAACAGGCAATGCGTTCATGCTGCGAAGGTTCGTTTTGTTTGCTGTGGAGATGTACAATGAATGAACGTTTAAAAACTATTTTT